AGATGACAGAAGTAAAACTGACAATTAAGTTAAATGTAAATGGAATAAATAACTCCAGTTAAAAGGTAGGAATTGTCAGCTGCCTGAAAACGCATATCAGAATATATGCTGTTTACAATATACATACTTTTTCTTCTTTTAGTTTCTGTTGACTCACAGAAGATTTGCAAGAATAGTACAAATAATTCCCAAATACCCTTAATACTTTCACCCAGGTTCCCCAAAGGTTAAACATTTACCATGTCTTCTTTATCCTTGACTGCCTCTGTCTTTCCATTTTTTCCTTTGAACTATTTGATAGTAAGCTGCAGACATGATGCCCACTTATCCCTAAATATCTCAGGGTATAATTCCTAAAAACAAGGACATCCTCTTAGATATCCAAGTAGAATAATCAAAAGCAGGAAATTAATCTTAATGCAATACTGTTACATTAACCATAGACTTTAGTCAGATTTTTCATCGTTCTAATAATGCTATTAATAGCAAAAGAAAATCCCAGATTATGTATTGCATCAGTTGTCTATCTTTTTAAATGTTCTTCGCTTTAATCTCGAATAGTTTCTCAGTCTTGCTTTGCCTTTCGTAACACTGACACTTTTGAAAAGTGCAGGGTTTTCTTTTTTAATAGGATGTTTCTCATTTGGGGTTTCTCTGATATTTTCCCATGATTTGATTGAGGTTATGCATATTTTGGCAAGAGGCCTGTAGAAACGAGTTCTCACTGCGTCACGTCAAGGGGCATATGCTGGTGTTAATTTTGATTACTTGACTGTGGTAGTTATCTCTACCACAAAATCATTATTTTTTACCTCATAATTAGTATCTTGTGAGAATGTACTTTGAGATTAGTCTCTTGGTACTCCACAAACTTTCATCATTTTAGTATCCATTCATACCTGAATTAACTCTTCTTACGATGGTTGTCAAATGGCATTTTGTCCTAATTGATCATTTCTTCTTACCTTTACTAGCTGGCTTTCTACTGTAAGGAAGAGAGTCCCTTCTCTTGCTATCAGGATTAAAATCAAGGATTCTTATTTTACTCAACGTTTTATAGTCTTTTACTGTCAACATTTATTTTGATACTCAAATTATGCCAGATTTAGTCAGTGGAAACCCTTTATGCTTCTTTGGACATGTTCCGAACCTTCTTTGAACATCTCCTCTCCTTCCGGAACAAGATGTTCTAGGCTCATTTTATACTTTTCCTTGTCTCAGCTCTGGAATCAGCCATCTATTTCCTAAAGAACTCTGGTTCTTTTCAGTGTAAACCAGTATTTAGAAACAAAGGTCTGAGGCCTAGGTGTGCTCCCTGCTAATAGGGTGTTATTGCTTATATGCTCTCTCAATGGGCAGAGGGAGGAAACAGACATATAGACACACACACACATCTACATTTATTCCTCTATCTATCTATATTTATTAGAAACCACAAGTTCATATTGATACCTCCAGTGCCAATCCAGCACCACAGGGTTCCTTCTATCCTTTCCCCTTTTCATATGTGTAACTCTCTTCTCTGACAGTGAGAAACTTGGCTCTCATTATCCACAACACATTTATTTGTTTAATCCTAGAATACACATAAGATAGTTTTTGAATTGTTAACTCATACTTTTGTGAAAAAGCAATTTACTGACGAGAATTCAATATCTATTTACCCTTCGTTTTGTCTTTAGCCTGAGGGCATTTAGTCCAAATACTGTTTTAACTCACTTGGACAGACTAGTGGTTGTCAAGGGGCTGGGGAAGATGAACAGTCAATGGCCATAAAAGGGGATCTTTGTGGTGATGGAAGAGCTCTGTACATCTTGGTTGTGCTAGTGGTTATATGAAGCTACACATGTGATAAAGTTACACAGAACTACACACAAATGAGTGCAATCTGGGTGAAATGAGTAAAATCTAAATATGTTCTGTGGATTGTAACAATGTCAATCTCCTGTCAGTGATATTATACTGTAGGTATGCAATCACGGGGGGAAAGAGGGTGAAAGGTATATAGGACCCCTCTGTACTAGTACTTGCAACTTCCTGTGACTCTGTACTTTGTTACAAAAAAAAGTCAAAGAAAAATTTACTTCTTTCCCACCCTAGTTGTTATTCATTGAAAACATAGGTTAATTTGTGTCTGTTTGTACTGCATGTTAGGTTCCTCTCCAACTTTCTTGCTGATTTATTTTTCTTTTTTGAGTATGTGAAACATTAATGTGGCTCTGAAAGTCTAAAAGTTATAAGTATACAAGGAAGTACACTCAGGGAAGTATGGCATTACCAGCACCACCGTTAACGCCCATCACCACCCCAGCCCCGCACCTGATCTCCTTCCCAGCCCACCGCTGTCCAGCCCTGTATGTAAGCATTTTGATTAGCCTGCAGTTTATCTTAACTTGGTTTCTTTTTTTGTAAATGATTATAACCATGCATATTTTAAAATTCTCCGTCTTAGAAAAAGATATGTATATTTATGTATACTCCTTCGTATTTTGCTTTGTTTACTTAACAATATTTTTTCGGGAAACAGTTCATAAAAATTTTGCTCCTATTTTTAATTTCTATTTTTTCACAGCTACTGTGAAATCTCCACTGTGCAGATGCACTGCAGATATCCAACCACTGTCCTATGGGAATTTGGGTTGTTTCTAGTATTTTGTAATTGCAATCAATGCTGTTGGAACTATCCTGGTGTATATGTATTTCCATATTGTTAGAAGTGTATCTTCAGGGTGAATTCCTATATATGAGATTTCTAGGTCAAGAGGTAAATTTACATTTAGCTGTAAAACTCCCCTCCATAAGGCTTGTGCCATTTTGCATTCCCATCACCAATGTATAAGTACCTACCTGCTTTCTCACAGCCTCACTAATGGTGTCTTATAGTACTTTACAATTTTTACTATAGGTAAGTTAGAAAGGGCTATTTCACTGTAGTTTTAATTTACATTTCTTTAAATATGAGTGAGGGAGGCCACTATAAGAAAATAAAATTACAGATCAGTATCTCTAGTAAATATAGATGCAAAAGGAATATTAGCAAACTGAATCTGTCAATACAAAAAGGATAACATATCACAATCAAGTAGGATTTTTTAGTTCCAGGAATGCAAGGTTAGTTTACTTTTAGAAATTAATCAATGTAATTCATCACATCAATGGAACAAAGGAGAAAAACTATGACTATCTCAAAAGATGAAGAAAATATATTTCACAAATTCCAATACCTAGTCTTCATAAAAACAATAAGTTAGAAGTAGAATGAAGCCTCCTCGATCTGACAAATCAGCTATGAAACATCTACAGCTAACATACCTAATGATTAAAGACCGAATGTTTTCCCCCTAAGATCAGGAACAAGGCAAGGATGTCTGCTCTTATCTATTCTCCAACATTCTATTGGAGGTATTAGCCCATGCAACATAGCAAGAAAAAGAAGCAAAAGGCACACAGATTGGAAAGGAAGAGGTTACATTGTTTTTATTTGCAGACAGTACATTGTGCATGTAGAAAATCCTAAGAAAACCACAAAAAATTCCTACTAAAATAAGTGAATTCAGCCAGGTTGTAGGGGGAGGTCACATGAAGTATGCATTTGTCAAAACTCATGGAATGATACTTACGTAAATTAGTTTGCATCATTTAATGGCATGTAAATTATACCTAAACTTTAAAAAATCAATATAAACCAAGGAAAAGGCCATATTACGTATCTTCTAGTACATTTGCGTGGTTGCCAATTTGCCCTTTCTGAGACAGTTTTGAAGTAGGGCTAGGTTTTATTTAAATTATTTTTGTCTATGTCAAGTCTAAATTTATTTATAGTTACCCATTAGATTTACGATCTCTCAGCAGAATCTGGGCATAAATGAATGAATGGTGCAGAAGTTGGGCCCAAATGAAATACTCCTATGAAAGTGATAGAGCAAGCATGGCATTTATAGAGGCTTCCTCCTGGCTGACCACTGCAACATGTTGCCTTCATTGAACTGGCCCTGGAATTAAGAAGTCCCAGGTTTAAATTTGGATTCTGAATCTGATTAGCTGTGTAACCGTGGGCTAGTTATCTAACTACTTATAATATTTTTCTCACTTGTTAAATAGGAATAACATTATAAAGTTTTATGAAAACATGACACAGTTAGTGTGACAATGACTGGCACGTTGTAGGGACCCAATAAATGTTTCTCTTAATGTCTTAGCAGGGTACTTTAATTCAATCTTTATTACAACACTATTTGGTATGGTATTTTCTTCTAACAGAGGAACCGGAACTGTACAAGAATAGTCTTGACTGCCAACTGGGAGCTTAGAGGATGGGCAGGGGAAGAAGACATGGAACTGATGAAGGTAATTTCTCCGAAGGTCAGCACCGTACAATGGCTCTCTCATAGTTATTTTCTGTACCAGCAACTGTTCATGAATTCATATTTATTCTAGTTTATTCTTCCTCCTTTGGGTTCTAAAATTACTGGTTCAGAGGCAGAATCACTGGTCCTAGCCAAGAACTCTGTTTCTTTATCCCTTCCTAATGGAATGCCTTACTAAGTCATGCTAAGAGAAACTGAATTCCTTATTACTATCTAGGCTCATTCTGAGGTGCAATTCTATTTATTCTTGGGTCACCTCTTTGTCCCCTAAAATTGGACATGGCTTACTCATTCATCTATCAAGACTTTAGAGAACATTTACACTAGGATCTACGGCGGAGGGTCAGAGAAGATCGTAGTGCTTAGCAGCTGAACCTCGAGGGATGAGTAAAGCTGTTAGGCAAATGAATAAAGTGGGAAAACTGAGGCTCCATTTAAGGTACCCTGCCTCTTCCCAAGAAATTATGCCTCACTTGCAAATAATAGCACTTGTTTGAGAACCTCTTTCTTTCAAAAGGTTAAAGAGACAGGAACTCTCCCTCTACCTCTTTTTTTCCTAACTTAACTACTGTTTTGAACTTTCTTTTGGAATTATGTTCCCAGATCAAAGAACAAAACAAAACTAAGACTCACCTCTGACTCCTCTCAGGAATGTCCAGCACAAACCCAAACATCATTTCAGCAATTTTATTGGAGCTACATGTGGGGGTCCTGTCCACCTCGACGGCTATGGACAGCATCCTCTGCAGCTGGCACACAATCCTGAGTCCAGAACACAGAACACAAGTGAGCGGGAGGGCCTGTCAAAGAGCTACCCTGCTGGCTGGGATGTGGTCCCCTCCAGTGTACTAAAGGACCTTGTAAAGCACACACTAGGTCGGGAAAACTACTCAAGCCGTCAGCATGCTTTTATTAGCAATGTCACCTACCTGAATCCCTTTCGCCAGATCATACTATCTGAACCTCTCAGAACCTGGGGCTGAGCTGCAAAAGCAAGCTGCTTTTAAATTCAAACATAGAAACACACAATCTTAAGGATCTAGAGAACTTTAAGGATCGTCTAACCCATAACTCCTCTATTTCACAGATGAAGAAAC